CAGTAGCCATGGAATAAGATCCGGTCGAGCGAACAGCCATAAACCCAATAGTATCTCTCTCAGCCCCCGCAGAGGTCTGGAGACCCCCCCCCCCCTGGAGCTCTGGAGGCCCCTAAAGCGGAGGGGCTTCGGCCATTCCCATGCAACTCGCGCAGACATGACTCTCAGCGCTGTTGCGCTCCAAGCTGCGCTGTCCGTCGCAATTGCCCCCCTCGCGCGCGCATGCCCCGCGGCGCGCGACGCGATGGGGAAAAAGAAAAGCAGAGACGAGGAAAGCCTGGATAAACCCTTATCGGCCCCACCTTGCCCCTAATGATATGATGAGGGATTGATGATGGTGCAACAACAGAACTGACGGATGCAAACTCTCGTTCGTACTGGACATGGCGCTCGCCAGCGCCCCCAGCGCGCGCTACCATTGCCGCCCTGGGCTTGCCATTGCATTCAGGGCCCCCGGACCAATGGCCGGTTTTCCGGCAGGTGTCGCAAGTCGAACGTTTCTTGATCCCCTTGGGCCGCTCCTTGCGATCTTGCGGGGGAGACCCCCCCCTGCCGCCCCCCTTGGGCGACTGGGGCGCGCAGTGGCAACCTTCGCCCCGCTCTCTTTTTTGCCCTTGCCCCTCCCTTGGGCGCCAAGGTTGGCGACCAGGACCCCCTGGGTCGCGTCAGAGGCATCTTCTTCCGCGCATCCGGCCTTGACCATCTCGTCGACCACCCCGACGTCGAGCTCGCTGCTATCCTGGACAGGAGCCCAGTGAGCATGCGATTCCTCGTCGACGAAAGTGCGTTCGTCGGCGCAGTCGTCCCAGGCCGCGTCGCCCCAGCCGTGCTCTGGCGCATAGCCGGGCGCGTAGTATCCGTAGGGGCTCAGCTCCACAGGGTAATGCTCCCCCTGCTCGTACCATCCATCATCGGCAGTGTTGAAGGCGCGTTGTGGTCTGGAGAAGCGCACCTTGCCCTTGCCCTTGCTCATGTTCTGGTAGCTGGGTCTGGGCTGCGTCCACGTCGAAGAGCTGGGGCCTCTGCCTGACTCACTCTTGCCTTCTTGGCGGGTGTTTATGCGGCCGTGCGGCGGATCAAGACGCCCTTGATATTGTCGAAGGTTGTCACATGTCCTGCGAATGTCAACGCCATGATATTATCAGAAGGTGAGAGACCCGCTTGGTCGAAGAAAAGGGAGCCAAGCCGTCGTCGCTCATCAAGATCGTAGGATCTAACTTGGAGACAAGGTTCCACCAATGCTTCCTTCGGGAGATGTCCGAGACCATAGACTCACCGTGCTGCCGAGACAATGGTCCATCTGGTCTGCGCCCCACCTGGGACAGTATCATCGCCTCCTGCGCCTCTGTGGGGAAGATTGAAATACGACTCGCCAGCAGCAGCTGATCGATCCCATTCGGACTCAGAAGCACGTCCTTGCCGATGTCCATGGCAATATCGAACGCGTCACCTCTGAGGCCTTCTACAACCTTGTTGACAGCCACCAGCTGATCGATCCCATTCGGACTCAGAAGCACGTCCTTGCCGATGTCCATGGCAATATCGAACGCGTCACCTCTGAGGCCTTCTACAACCTTGTTGACAGCTGCGGTGGTCACGCACTGCTGTGGTGCACCCGTCACTTGATCCACTGAGGCCAAAGCGGCACTCATGCGCATCTCTGTGCGGAATTCCCACTCGTGGAAGTTGTTCACCGTGCCGTCGTAGATGTAGGAGCCACTCTTCGTCTCGGACCGCGTCAGCGCTCGGCCGATAGCGAACAGAAGAAAGTGCCATGGCGCAAGGCTCAGTCCCCTAGCGAGGGAAACTGCTGGTACAGGAAGTAAAAAGCGGTAGTGTGACACTCTCTGACGACACGTGCGCGCAATGGTACGGTACGGGGATCGTGTGGTTGTTCCGCTACCAGTGTGGTAATGATGAATTTCAACGCAGTGGGAAAAACAGCCCCTAGAGGTCAAACGGCAGCGAGTGGTGCATATACACACGTGACACACGCAGTATATCATAGTTTTTTCTTTATGAGCAATCTCTCCCAATCGCACCCCGAAGCCCGTTTTTTGGGCGGGCCCGGTGGTTCGTCTGAGACATCCTCGCCACGTGCGGCCCTGAGGCTTACGCTTGGCAGTAGTTTCGCGAATGGAAGGCGGGCCATTTTGCACATGTGGCTGGCTCTCGCCTCAGCGCCGCGCACACCAAACAAAACATGCAAGAGCTTCACGGATTGAGGGCGGTTCCTTTTCAACATGTGGCTCTGCCTTAGCGCCGCGTGCACCCGCTCTGAAACATGCAAGATATTCACGGATGGAGGGCGGTTCCTTTTCAACATGTGGCTCTCGCCTTAGCGCCACGCATATAGATTGCTTCACGGATTCCCATGATCATCGTACCATAAATTGAGTTTGGAAGGACTCGGGATTATGAGGGTCAGCATTTACAGGGACTCGCTGATGAATTCCAAAGAACGGCGTTCTGGCACGATTCTGGATCGTCACGACGCAACAGTCAGGTCGATCCGTGGCGTTGGAATCCCGATAACAATGTTTTGGACGCTGTAGGGTCTTCAAACGGTTGTCTGTCAACGGGGCGATTCCCGCATTGGAAATGAACTGCTGTAGGGGCCTATGAAGAGTGAGCTTGGAGGGAGGGTTTATTCCAACATCGTTGATGACTCTTGGAATTACACTGGTAGCCTCCTCCTCCATCCTGCGGTCGTTTTAATTGATGTCGAGGGGCCCCCTGAAGGCCGAACAAATAGCCCGAGACGGGCTGCTCCACTTTTCCTGTGGATCATCGGACCTCTGACGAAGCCAACAGGAGAAGGAGGAGGAGGAGGAGGAGGAAGAGGACGAGTCTACGGGTAAGGCCATTGTCCCTGGCTTGCTTGAAAGCGAGCTGGGCCCCTGGGTGCGAACATGGGTGCAAGCCCGTTACCTGGTCAGGTCGCCGAGCCGCCTGGGATACAGCGTCCCTCTCTCAGCTGGGGAGCCACACGCCTACCCTGCTAGCAGGGGACCCTGCTCAGGAGGAGGAGCTGGAGGCGGAGGAGAAGGAGGAGGAGGAGGGGGAGGAGGGAGGGGGAGGAGGAGGAGGAGGAGGAGGAGGAGGAGGAGGAGGAGGAGGAGGAGGAGGAGGAGGAAGAGGACGAGTCTACGGGTAAGGCCATTGTCCCTGGCTTGCTTGAAAGCGAGCTGGGCCCCTGGGTGCGAACATGGGTGCAAGCCCGTTACCTGGTCAGGTCGCCGAGCCGCCTGGGATACAGCGTCCCTCTCTCAGCTGGGGAGCCACACGCCTACCCTGCTAGCAGGGGACCCTGCTCAGGAGGAGGAGCCGGAGGCGGAGGAGAAGGAGGAGGAGGGGGAGGAGGGAGGAGGAGGAGGAGGAGGAGGCGGAGGAGGAGGAGGAGGAGGAGGAAGAAGAGGAGGAGGAAGAGGACGAGTCTACGGGTAAGGCCATTGTCCCTGGCTTGCTTGAAAGCGAGCTGGGCCCCTGGGTGCGAACATGGGTGCAAGCCCGTTACCTGGTCAGGTCGCCGAGCCGCCTGGGATGCGTCCCTCTCTCAGCTGGGGAGCCACACGCCTACCCTGCTAGCCCCTGCTCAGGAGGAGGAGCCGGAGGCGGAGGAGAAGGAGGAGGAGGAGGGGGAGGAGGGGGGAGGGGAGGAGGAGGAGGAGGAGGAGGAGGAGGAGGAGGAGGAGGAGGAGGAGGAGGAGGAGGAGGAGGAGGAGGAGGAGGAGGAGGAGGAGAACGAGAGGAGGAGGAGGAAGAGGACGAGTCTACGGGTAAGGCCATTGTCCTGGCCTGCTTGAAAGGGAGCTCCGCGGCCCGGGTGCGAACATGGGTGCAAGCCCGTTACCTGGTCAGGTCGCCGAGCCGCCTGGATACAGCGGTCCCTCTCTCAGCTGGGGAGCCACACGCCTACCCTGCTAGCAGGGGACCCTGCTCAGGAGGAGGAGCCGGAGGCGGAGGAGTAAGGAGGAGGAGGAGGGGGAGGAGGGAGGAGGAGGAGGAGGAGGAGGAGGAGGAGGAGGAGGAGGAGGACGAGGACGAGGAGGAGGAGGAGGAGGAGGAGGAGAGGTAGGGGGAGGAGGAGGGGGGGAGGGGAAGGAGGAGGATTGGGAGGAGGAGGAGGAGGAGGAGGAGGAGGAGGAGGAGGAGGAGGAGGAGGGGGAGGAGGGGGCGAGGAACGGGGAGGAGGAGGAGGAGGGGGAGGAGGGGGAGGAGGAGGAGGAGGAGGAGGAGGAGGAGGAGGAGGAGGAGGAGAGGAGGAGGAAAAGGGGGAGGAGGAGGAGAGGAGGAGGAGGAGGAGGGAGGAGGAGGAGAGGAGGAGGAGGAGGAGGAGGGGAGGAGGGGGGGGGAGGGGAGGAGGGGGCGAGGAACGGGTCCGGAGGTCCAGAGCGCAACGGCGGCAGCCAAGCGCACCCGGCTGGGGCGGCTGGTGCGCCGCGCGGGCTCCGAGAGGGCGCCGGGCCGCCCGGGCCAGGCCCCGAGACAACCGCCCACGGCGGCACGATGGGGACGAGGACGAGGGGGGGGAGGACAAGGGGGAGGACGGGAGAGACGGCGAGGACAAAGGGGAGGACGAGGACGAGGACGAAGGGGCCGAAGGGGGGGGGGCGAGGGGAAGGCCGAGAGGGAGGGCGACGAGGACGAGGGCGACGAGGACGGGGAGGGAGGAGGGGCAAGCACGGGGGTGGGGGCACGCAGAAGACGACAGAAGACGGGGAGGAGAAGGCGGGCGTCGGGCGCGCGAGGGGCCCCTATTCCTTCTCGTCCTCGCCCTCCTTCGCCCTCGTCCTCGTCCTCGTCCTCCTCCCCCAGGCTCCTCCTCCTCCTCCTCCTCCGCCTCCTGTTCTTCTGCCTCCTCCCCCTCCTCCTCCTCTTCCTCCTCCTCCTCCTCCTCCTCCTCCTCCTCCTCCTCCTTCTCCAACGTATAGGTAGCTCGTCCGTCTTGCTCTCCCCCTCCCCGTCCCCGTCGCTTCCCTCTTCCCCTGCATCCCGATCATGTTTGACCTCTTGCGGAGCTCTGCTGTTCTGGCTGCGTGGCCTCAGTGGCCAGCTAACGTGTGTACAAAAGTGCGCAGCTCTTTACTCAGAGCGTGTTCTTGACATGAGCTCTGAAATGCTCTCTGAGCGTGCTCTCGAAATGCTCTCTCAGCACGCTCAGAACTCTTCGCTCTGAGCAAGCAAGCAAGCCAATGCTGAGTACGAAACGCGCATGAGCACATAGCCACAAGCGCTGGAGGATCGCGATGCAACGCGCTGGAGCGGCCTCCACACCCCCAGCAGCTTCGCAGGCGTGAGGAGGAGGAGGAGGAGGCACTACCCACAGGCGGCGAGCTGGGGAGGAGGAGGCGCTACCCACAGGAGGAGGAGGAGGAGGAGGCACTACCCTGGGTAAGAAGCCCACAGGTGCAGTGCCGCAGCTGGGGGCTTCGCGGAGCGAAAACAATACCCGCGGGCACCGCCGCCACGCAGCGTGCTCCAAGCAGGCGGTGCCTCTCGGTCAAAATGGCCACTCGGCATGCAGGACGACCACCTCACCAATCAGGGAGGACCTCCAGCCCCCCAACTTTTACGTCCAGGGCGAAGCTTCCAAACGGAGTCGGGGCCTTCGGCCCCGAACCGAGAGGCAACTTCGCCCCAGTTCGTGGGTGGTTTCCGTTCCAGAGGTGGTCCAAGCGGGCACGTGTCGACGAGCAGCGCTCGCAGTGCCCCCTGCAATCCACCGCCAGGAGCTTATGGAGCGAGTGTGTTCCACACGAGCTGCAGAAGGTGAACGGGCCAACGCACCAAAGGCGGTGGCCTACGACAGGCCGGCACGGGGCCTGCCTGAGCGTCTTGGCCACCTTGGTCACGCGCAGGCACCTTACGCATCGCAGCTTACCCGCAAACTGCACTATGTCGAGCTCTCCCGCGGGGGCCTCCTCATCAGCCGTGAGCCTCGGAGGAGGAGACACTACCCACAGGCGGCGAGGAGGAGGAGGAGGAGGAGGAGGAGGAGGAGGAGGAGAAACGTTTTTGGAACGTTTTGGCAAGCAACGCCGTGCGAGAGAGAGCGGGCGAGAGAGAGAGAGAGAGCAGCAAGCAGGAGCGCATGTGCCTAAGGCACTCCACCCTTAGTCAGAATCGAGGAGGAGGAGGAGGAGGAGGAGGAGGAGGAGGAGGAGGAGGAGGATGGAGGGAGGAAGGGAGAAGGAGGAGGAGGAGGAGGAGAGACGAGGAGGAGGGAGGGAGGAGGAGTAGGAGGAGGAGGGGAGGAGAGACGGGAGGAGGGGCCGACGGAGGAGGAGGAGGAGGCGAGGAGGAGGAGGAGGAGGAGGAGGAGGAGGAGGAGGACGGGGAAGTGTTGGTTGTTCCGACGCTTTTGGAAAAGGGGAGGAGAGGCCGCGGCTCGTCGCCAGCCCTCCGCCGTGGGACGATGCGGCGCCCAGCTCCAAGCAAGGCCCGCGCGCGGGCGCCCTTCGCCCGAGGGCCGCCCGTGGACGCCTCGACGGGCGGCGCGTGCAACGGCCTCCTCCTCCTCGTCCTCCTCCTCCTCCCCCTCCTCCTCTCCTCACGACTCCTCCTCCTCCTCCTCCTCCTCCTCCTCCTCCTCATCCTCTTCCTCCTCCTCCCTCCTCCTCCTCCTCCTCTCCTCCTCTCCTCTTCCTCCCCTCCTCCCGTTCCTCTCTCCTCCTCCTCGTTGTCCCCTCCTCGTTTCCTCCCTCCTTCCTCCTCCTCCTCCTCTCCTCCTCCTCCTCTCCCTCCTCCTACTCCTCCTCCTTCCTCCTCCTCCTCTCCCCTCCTCCCCCCTCACCCTTCCCCCTCCCCCTCCCCCTCCCCCTCCCCCTCTCAACGGGGTGGGGTCCGCCCGAGGGTTCGCCCACCTCTCGGGTGTGGGGTGCCCGACAGCAAGCCACCTCTGGGATGGCTTACGGGCTTGCCTGAAGAAAAGGCACTCAGCTGAACAATTGCAGCCCACTTCGCTGTGGTGTGCAACCCACGGCGTTGTGGTGTGCAGCTGGCTTGCGCACCCTTGCACCGGCTGCATGCACATCGCGGGAATGCTAAGTGACGCCCCCACTTGCCAAATTCTACATATGGTTGGGCAACATGAGTTTGCATCGTTTGTTTGGCGACTAAGGTAAGTAGTTGAAAGCGTTTGCTAAGGCATTTTTTATTATCAAGCGGCACATCGCACGTACTTGCTAAGTGGTTGCACGTACTTGCCACCATGCAGTTCTGCGTATCATAGCGACACGAATGTGCACATGAGAAACAGCGATGTAGAGCACCATTACACATGTATTTGCTCTGCAGAGCCATTCAACCTGTGCGTCGCGGCAACATATGTTATATTATGCTTGTCGTAAAGGCGCTATGCCATCACTATCCATGCCATCATCACCAGACACATCCTCGTCGTGATAACCATCGGCATCCTCATCACCAGCATCAGCGTCATCGACATCATCGGCATTATCGAAATCAACAACAGCATGATCACCATCATCCTCATCATCATCAACTGCATCCCCACCATGCAGTAGCATGCTTATCATCAGCATCATCATCAACATCATCATCATCGGCATGACCAACGTCATGGGCATCGCCATCACCATCATCATCGTCATCAACATCATCATCATCGTCATCATCATCATCATCAGCAGCAGCAGCATCAACGCCGTCATCCCCCAAGAATGCCCCGAGGGGGGCCCAAGAGGCCCCAAAGACGGCCCCAAGAGCGCCCAAGAGCGCCCGCCCGAGGCCCCCCAGTGCTCCCAAGATGGCCCCAAGAGAGCCCCACGAGGGCCCCACGAGGGCCCCCAGCAGAGCCCCACGCATACCCCGAGATCCCCCAGAAGAGCCCCAAGGTTGCTCCGAGCGGCGATGTTGCAGGCTCCTGGGGGGGGACTGCCACCGGAGACCCTCCCTCCCTTGGTCGATGCTCTCCAAGATGGCCCCAAGAGGGCATCCATCCAAAGAGAACCTCAAGGTCCAAGACCTGGCAACAAGAGCTCCCAAGAGGACCCCATGAGGACCCCGAGGGGGCACCAGCAGCAGATGCGCCAGCAGAAGCAGCACCACCACCAGCAGCGCCACCATCAGCACGTCCAGCAGCAGCACCACCACCAGCACCACCTCTAATGCCTGCTCTGGTTCACGGCATGCTTCTCGTCTTTCCATTTCGCGGCAGCTCTCGTGGGCAGGGCTTCTGAATAGGTTGGTGGGCATACGCGAGTTGTGAATATAGATGGTGTGAGCCATACCGTCGGTGCACCTACGCTACGTAGGTGTATCCATATCTCTCTCTCTATATATATGTGTGTGTATGTAAAAAGGTTAGTGCACATATATATATAGTAAGTATTCACACATATATATATATATATGAATATGTGTGTATATGTGAAGATGCATAAATAACACACGTTCATGACTATACCTATATCTACACAAAGACATGTAGATACTATGCATAACTAAGATTATGTAGACGTACATGTGTAATTCAATAGGTCAGACGCCAAGGCTGGCCGCCGCGCCTCGGCGCCTGGACGCGGCTCGAGAAGCCCGGAGCTCCCGGAGAAGCAGAACGGCAAGAGCCATCGCTCAGGAGGAGGAGGAGGCAGAGGAGGCGGAGGAGGCGGAAGAGGAGGAAGGGGGAAGCAAGAGCGCCCCGATCCTTCCCGTGCGCGAAGGGAAGGATGAGGCAGAGGCCCCTGACGCACTATGAGGCGAGAAGCGCGAAGGCATGAACTTGCCAAGGTGGGGGGCGCGAAGATAGAGCCGCCGGCAGGGCAAGATGAGAGGTGCGAAGGTAAAGGCGCAAAGGCACGGAGGCAACAAGATAAAGAGGCGCGAAGATACAGAGGTGCGAAGACAACTGCGGGCGAAGACAACGGGGAGCAAAGAAAAGAGGCGCGAAGATCAGAGGCGCGAATATAATAGGCGCGAAGATAGGAGCCGCGAAGATAAGATGCAAGAGTC